AAGGTTTGGGGCCTCGTCGAGCTGTGAGACACCACGGGGAATGCTGTTGTGGCTGAGAGCACAGGCTCAGGAGCAGGACCACCTGGGTTCAAACCCTGGCTCTGCCAAGTAATAAGCTAAATGCCCCTGGGAAAGCCGCCTTTCTCCAACCACAGTTTTGTCATTTGTAAAATGAGAGAGATGATAATAGTATTGACCTCACCATGTTGTTGTGAGTCTTCAATGGGTAAATGAACAAATGGCCCTTAAAGTAGAACCTAGCACATAGTAGGTGCTCAATAAATGTGAACTACTAGCTACAAAACAAGCAGGACCAACCTGATGTAATACAATTTGAGGAGTACCCATAAAGCACACACCAGTCCTAGAATATTTCCCCACCATCCTGCCAAAGTAGATTTCCAACCATTCAAGTCACTCCAGGGCCAAATTATTGTCTCATAGGGGTCCCTGCTAGAGTGTAGACATTCAATCATGTGAGGGTAACTTATTCAGATCCTGTAGCAGAAAACTGGGCAGGAGGGTAGTTTCTGCCTAAGTCGACACCTTGTGAGAAGGTTCCTGAATATTAGAGAGAAGATACCCAGTTTGGATCCAAGGGATGGGATGAAAGTTTGGTTCTCACGGAAAGGGACTTTGAAAAGAATTTTGAGGGGAAATAAATTCACATGGTTTAAAACAAACAAACAAAAAAAGAAACAAGAGGTATAAAGGTACCCCATCTGCCCAATTCTCCCTAAAAGTCTCCATTTCTTACACACACACACACACACACACACACACCACCTAGTTTCCTAGTTCCATACGTATCCATCTAGTCTCTTTATGCATTCATGCATAGTCAAGCAAATGAGAATGTAATGTAAATTCTTGGTCATTTTGTACACATAACATTACATATAGTATGTACTATTTTCCACCTTGCTTATTTTCCTTAATAATATGCTTCGAAGATCTTTCTATAAGAGAACGCTCATTCTTTCCCAAGCTGCGTACTATTTCCTCAAATGGATATGTCATAATTCAGTTAGCCAGTCACTATGGATATTTGGGTTGTTTTTCATCTTTTACTATTCAGAGTGCTGCCACGAATACACTTTATACTCATCATTTCACACATATACCAGTACATTTGTAGAATAAGCTTCGTGAGTGGAATTGTTAGAAAAAAGGTAGATTCCTTTCCCTCCCCACGAGTATACCAATGAATGTTCCCACCATCACAGTGTCAGAGTGCCGGGCTTATGTGGTCAGAATTTTGGATTGTTGCTAATCTGGTAGCTGCAAATGTGCCTTTGTGTAGTTTTACCTTGCATTTCTTTTATCATGAGTTAAGGGTGAACTTCCTAAAAAGAAGGGGACCCTGAAATAGGATGTGGAAGAAATCAAAGATGAACTTCTGTGATTCACAAGCTTATCCTGAGCTAGCCCTGAACACAAGTACTTGCACTGAATGCCTCTTCGATTTCCACTTCAAGCAAAAGTTGTCACTAACATTGAAAAAAAAAAAAGGTATTGGGACACACATACACACAGCACTATTGTCCGCCTTCCAACCACACCCTGATGTCCAGCTCCAGTTCAACTTTGACTCTTACTACACCTTCATGGCTGTTATGTTGTTTATTTTTCCTCATCTGTGGGTTTACACTTCTAGCATCAAGATCATTCACCAAACAGTCTTTGCTTTAGAGCAGTGGTTCTCAACCTTCCTAATGCCACGACCCTTTAATACAGTTCCGCATGTTGTGGTGACCCCCAATTGCATTGTTACAAATTGAACATAATTAAAGCATAGTGATTAATCACAAAACAATATGTAATTATATATGTGTTTTCCAATGGTCTTAGGCGACCTCTGTGAAAGGGTCGTTCGACCCCCAAAGGGATCTCGACCCACAGGTTGAGAACTGCTGCTTTAGAGCTTGGTCCTCCGAAGGCAAGCATGAGAACGGCTTTCTTCTGGGGAACAAGCACCCTAGTAGAAGTCTTATTCCTCCTAGAATAGTTAATTCCATGTCTTTTGAGATAACTCTTGGGCTTTATGTTTATTTTTTTTACTTTTTTTATTCCCTAGGGTCCGTGTTTGGGTGGATGCCTGCTGGGAGAGGGCCTGGCTGGGAGCAGCTCATCTGTGGAAGGACCTTCCAGTGTTGGCACTGTTTTCAGTGCCTCCTGCCCTCCTTCCTACCCTGCAGCTCAGTGACATCAAGCTCACAGCCTCTCCAGAGTTCTGTCTCCTCCATTTCACCCCTGAGCCTCAGTACAGGTCAATGTGTGCTCCACCCACAACCCATTGCCCAGAAATTTGCTGACATTTCTGGTGCACTTATCTCCCTTATGTCTCTTGGCTCATGGGGTAACTATATTCCTATTCTTTATTACTTAATAAGCTCTCAGAAGAGGTGACAAAAGAGTCAATATGGTCTGCCACCTTGAACTAAATGATAAATGACTTTAATGTTTATATACAAAACAAAGGTAGTAGAACTAATTCTGTTTCTACTTTGGACCTGTTATTCTTACTACATGTTCATCCAAGTCAGAATGATTGTCGCCATTGTTGATTTTGATTAACCTTTGATATGCCTTTACATTGGACCCATTCTGTTAATTACACACACTGAGCATTTCCAGGAGCCTTGCATTGAGCCAAGTGCTAAATAGGATATAGATCAGGGGTCCTCAAACTTTTTAAACAGGGGGCCAGTTCACTGTCCCTCAGACCGTTGGAGGGACAGACTATAGTTTTTTAAAAAAACTATGAACAAATTCCTATGCACACTGCACATATCTTATTTTGAAGTAAAAAAACAAATACAATATTTGTATTTGCATGTGGCCCGCGGGCCGTAGTTTGAGGACCCCTGATATAGATGGATGACACATATGGATCATGACAGTATCAAAAATAAACTTCCACACTATAGTAATTAATAATAACCATGGTCCCATTTTAGTTGCCCTTTATTTATTTTTATGCCTTTTTATTGATTTCAGAGAGGAAAGGAGGGGGAGACATAGAAACATTAATGATGAGAACCGATTGGCTGCCTCCCCCACTGGGGATTGAGCCAGCAACCTGGGCATGCACCCTGACCAGGAGTTGAACCCTGACCTCCTGGTTCATGGGTCAGTGCTCAACCACTGAGCCACACTGCCTGAGCCTTAGTTGCTTTTTATATTTGTATTTTATCTTGACCTAAATAGAGCTGGATCCCTTCAGTCAGGTATTGTGTGTTGTAACTTTCTCTATGCCCAAGTGTGGTTCTTAGAATCAGTGGCTATTCAGTAAGCATAGCTGATACTTGAGCAGTGGTCAGGGTGAGTGTATTAGTAGGTGCCAAGGAAAATTGGTCGAGTATAATACCAAACTAAAAGAATTTCCAAAAAGAACCAGAAAAAGAAAGAAAAGGCAATTATTATTTTTAATGAAGTTGAATGTTTTATTATTAGACTGTTTCTTATTTTCCTGCAAGACAATTGCTCCACTGTATAAAAATAGCACCAGCAAAAGCAGCATATTGCAAAATTAAGGTAGTACTGTTAATTATCCAACACTGTACAACTAATAAAAAACGTGTCCTCACTGCCAGTTATTTCCAATGGAAAGACCATTGAGTATTATGAGCCAAATCTAGAGATGGATGTAAGCAAGTTACATTATATAAGTTTTATGACAATGTTATCTTTGAATTACATAAGTTTTATAACTACTTGTTACCACAGATAATTTCAGGAATTCCGAATAACTGTAGCCTAGCCTAAACATTAGAGGGTGTTGTAAAAAGATGCATATTGTTCATCTGCAATCATTTGTAGCATTGTTGTAAGTAGTTTCTTTTTTCAGTGGTATGACTAAAAGCTGCTATTTTAAATCTTTTGTCCACCACTAATTTAAGACAATTATGTTACATCAAGTCGTTTCATACTACTGTACTTAGGGGTTTCCATTTTCACTCTTCAGTAGATTTTATGTATTTCCCATATACTTCTTCACTCATTGGTTCACCTAGTTCTGAAAGGTTACTCAATGTCATCTTGATCGCCAACCATCTTCATAACAAGATTTATTGACAAGTCCTGGATTTTCTGCATGAGCTTCATTAAGTCCAATTACTTTTCCTGGTAGAGGAGACTAGAGTTCACTAGCAGCTTTCACACTTCCCAAAGTACCAAACTCACCTTTGTTCAATTTTGTCCCAATTTCAGGAGACTACAACATCTCCCAAAGCTTCCTCTGCAAAATTGATGATCCCGCTGTTCCAATACCATTTTCTGTTGTTACCCATTTATGTTTCTCTGTGAACTTATGCAGGGAGAGTAGGTTGGGGCCAGTGCGCATTGACCCCACGGCACCCCCTCAGGCTCCAGGGCCATGGCCATGTTCACAGTAGCAATTATTTTTAAAAAATACAAAAGCATATCTCAGAACTGAAAGATCTGGATGATCAGGTTAAAAGTGTCAAGAAGGACCTTGTACAACAAATAAAAAATAAAAAGACCCACACCAACACTCATTATCATGAAATTTCAGTTAACCAAAAGTAACAAAAGTATCCTAAAATCTCCAATAAGAAAGAGTAGGCCATGTTCATAGAATCAGAAATCAAAATGGCTTCTGGCTTCTCGCTAGTAATGCTGGAGGCTAGAAGACAATGGAGCAGTAACTTCAAATTTTTGAATGAAAATTATTTTCAATTTAGACTTCTATTCTCAGCTAAACTATCATTTAACTATGAGAATAGAATTAAGACATTTTCAAATATGCATGGGCCCCAAAATTGTATCTTCCATCCATCTTTCCTTAGGGAACTAGTGTGGCATGTGCTCCACCAAACTAGGGAATATAGCCCTGCCCAGTGTGGCTCAGTTGGTTGAGCATCATCAGGTTGCCAGTTTGATTCCCGGGTCTGCAGGAGGCAGCTGATCAATGTTTCTCTTCCTCTCCCTTCTTCTCTCTCTAAAATCAATAAAAACATATTTAAAAAAAACTAGGGAATGTACCAAGAAGGAAAAAAGGTATGGAATCCCAGAGAAAGGAGAGGAAAGAAGGTACAACGATGATGGTGAAGAGAAACAGCATGGCAGCAGAGCAGCAGGATTAGAGAGCAATCTGTCCACATTTGAGGAGAAATGGAAAGTTCCAGAAGGACTTTCTTTAAGGAAAATATGAATTACTATAAACAAAAGGACTCTTATGGTTGGGCAGTATTTGAGGATAAACTATTGTTAGTTATAAAGGAAATTAAGCAATGGGATGAGACAATTATCAACTCCAGGAGAAACAAACTGTTGTCTAAAAAAGGAAATGGAATTATAGTATACCAAATAGCCTACCTGTGAGCAGTCATAAAAGCAGCGATTCTGGATAGTCAGTTAACCAGAGATTGTGATAAAAACTTGTGCTTCAACAAATGGTGCTGAGACCATTTCCACATGTAAAACTAAAATGAAATTCAACCCTGGTTACCTTATACCATGCACAAAAATCAATGAGACATGGAACGCTCGCCTAAATGTAAGAGCTAAAAATATAAAGCTGCTAGAAGAAAACATAGGAGAAAATCTTTGTGGCCATTGATTAAATAGGGTACAATAACTGGGAAACAAGATTTTCAAAACATGATCTGATTATAGGCTTTCATCTAGAAGATAAATTTATATTTACCCAATTATCCAACCCTTCCCCTTACCTTCTTTCTGCCTCTGGAAACCACAAATCTGACCTCTGTTTCTAGAATTTGGTTTTTTCTTTTTTAAGTTTCCACATCTAGTGAAATTATATAGTATTCGTCTTTCTCTGTCTGACCTATTTCACTTAGCATAATGCCCTTACAGTCCATCTATATTGTAGCAAATGGCTGGATTTCCTTCTATTTTATGGCTAAATAGTGTTCCATTATTTATATTTGTACCACAACTTCTTTATCCATTCATCCATCAGTGGACATTAAGTAGTTTCCACGTGTTGCCTGTTGTCAAGAATGGTGCAATGAACATGGGGTGCTGATATCCCTTCAAGATGGTGATTCTGTTTCCTTTGGACATACGCATATCCAGAAGTGGATTGCTGGACCATGTGGTAGTTTTAATTTTTTGAGGAACCTCCATACTGTTTCTCCATAGTGACTGCACCAAATCACATATGTACGAACCGTGCACAAGGGTTCAGATTGGGTTCATCTTAAAGGACAGGTTGAGAAGCATTTCGTTGTTGTAGTGATCCAGACCCATGTACCTCATTTCTTCATCAAAATTCCATTTGCTGCTCTTGCCTGGAAGCGAATACTGATGGTGAGGATAAGAGGTATAGCTAAAGAGAAAGGGGTCTTCCTGAGGCGAATGGCACGTAGGGGGAGGGTAGTAGCTGTTAAACTCCATATGCACCTTCTCTTCATAGAGATCCGGCCCTGGACTTGGCCATAACGGGAGACAGCCAGTTTTGGCTGAAGGTGGTTCCACTGGAATCTGCTGAGAAAGGGGATCTAAAGCATTCTGGGGAGGGGAGAAGTCATAAGACCAGCCGGCCTGGGGAATCCCCAAGTGAGGCTCCTGCGGGGTCTCATTTGCTACTGAGCCTGGTGTCTTCATCCCCCTTCTGATAGTGACCACCTTCATCAGCTGGGCAGTCTTGGGGGAAATGTCAAGGGCTTTGGTCTTGACTGTTCTGAATCAGCTGGGCTTTGAACAGGAGGTAAGATAATCCAAGGAAATGCCCCTCTCAGGCGACCATGAACAATGGCCAGACGTCACTGTGGAAGGGAAAGGAGGCTCCAGTCGGTGTGGAGTGAGAAGCCTGTGCGTTAGTCTCTGCAACCAGGTGAGGGGCCTGGGAGAGGGCATCTACTCTGCTGCTGCTGCCTGTAGTGAAGGCAGAGCCGGAGTCCCCTGAGGAACTTGTGATGGAAGGAGCTGGGGAGGGAGTTCTTTGATGCTGCAGAGCAGTGGTTCTCAACCTTCCTGATGCCGCGACCCTTTAATACAGTTCCTCATGTTGTGGTGACACCCAACCATAAAGTTATTTTTGTTGCTACTTCATAACTGTAATTTTGCTACTGTTATGAATCGTAATGTAAATATCTGATATGCAGGATGTATTTTCATTGTTACAAATTGAACATAATTAAAGCATAGTGATTAATCACAAAAACAATATGTAATTATATATGTGTTTTCCGATGGTTTTAGGCGACCCCTGTGAAAGGGTCGTTCAACCCCCAAAGGGGTCTCGACCCACAGGTTGAGAACCGCTAGTAAACATTTCCCCTCAGACGCCAATCTCATATCCTAAATGCCTTTGTGAGAAACTTCTAAGGGCTACTTAAGAAAAGTCAAATTACAGCATCACAGATTGGTCTTATACTCAGTACAACTCTCAGGGGGTCCCCCTCTCTCTTGCTTCCCTCCTTGACTTTTCTATTTTTCAGTGCTGTGTGACGTCCAAGGGACTAGGGTTGTTGTATGTTTTTCCTCAAGAGATTTTTCTCTGAACTTATTTTGTTGAATCATAAATAGGACGTCTAGACTCTGAAATGGTAAATGTATTATTGTTATTTAATATATTTTTATTGATTTTGGAGAGGAAGGGAGAGAGAGATAGAAACATCAATGATGAGAGAGAAGCATTGATCGGCTACCTCCTGCACGCCCCACGCTGGGGATTAAGCCCACAACCCAGGCAAGTGCCCTGAGAGGGAATCAAACCGTGACCTCCTGGTTCATAGGTCAACACTCAACCACTGAGCTACACCGGCCAGGCGGTAAATTTATTTTTGTAAAGAGAAAGTATATTTTCCTCCAGTGAATCCTAGAAAAATAATCTGGTTGAGGATTAAATAATCCTCTTGTCTATGCAAAACTATTGACTAATGAGAGGATGGGGTGAAGAGACTGTCACCAGGCAAGAGTGAGTGGGAAGAAATGCCCTTCAACTTGTCCCATGGCTGGGAGAAGGGATGAGGGGCCAGTTATTTGGACCTGGGGCATACATTTTCTGATAAGAGACACAAGTCATATATATATATATAGTTAAAGTACATTTAGAGCTTCCAGGGATGGACTGACTCCATTTCAGTCCTCCTGAAAAAAACTTGAAGCATCCCTGGCCAGTGTTGCTTAGTGGTTGGAGCATTGGCTCACATACTAAAGGGGAGTGGGTTCAATTCCCAGTCAAGGGCACGTACCTGGATTGGGGGTTTCAATCCCCAGCCCTGGTTGGGATATGTATGGAAGGCAACCAATCTATGACACATCAGTGCTTCTCTCTTTCTCTCCCCTTCCCTACCACCCCTCCACTCTCTCTAAAAATCAATGGAAAAAACATCCTCTGGTGAGGATTAACAAGAAACAAATAACACTTAAAAGAAATGTGGAGCATTGAACTGCACTGGTCCACTTTTACGCGGATCGTTCTCAATAAATACCTATACTATTTGGATCCAAAGTTGGGAGTCTGTGGATGCAGAGGGCTGTCTGTCTGCATTGATCTTCACCATTCTCTGTAGGGGATTTGAGCATCTGTGGTTTTTGGTATCCATAGGGTATCCTGGAACCAATCCTTTGTGGATACTGAGGTACAACTTAAGTTTGGGGGGCAGTGAAAAATTATATACAGATTTATTACTATTCGGGGGGTCAGTGCCCCTAACCCTTGCATCGTGGAAGGGTTAACTGTAATCTGTTTTAGGGAAGAATGAACATGTGGGCAGAAAGCATGAGGCTAATATTTGTGGAGATCATTTCAGTTAATTCTGGTTCTCTGAGAACCAAATTACAGAGTGCCAAAATATAAGTTAAGTACTAATTCCAGTTTCTTTTTCATTGTGGTAGGGAAGATGATTCTAAAATTACATAGAATTTATGTTGAGAGCACGCAATAAAGATGGTAGAAATTAAGGGGAATCCCTCAGGCTCAGTTTGTGTGGCAGATGCTGGCTTACAGGTGAGCCTGGCGGGATATGACTTCTGCTTTCACTTGTAGGTAAGGGGCTGGAGAAATCTACTGCCCCACCACAGGGGTGGCGAGTTGCCGTCTGGTTCTGAACACACATGGGGAAAGGTTACCTTTGCCTCTGGGGCCCTGTTCAGCTTCAAGGAGACGGAGGAAGATGCCACCTGCACTTTCTTTACTGTTCTTCTTGCCTCGGCTTCCATTTTGGTTTCTGGCTTTGGATGATCGTGTTCTCCCTTTGACTTAAAGGAGACAAGGATGTAAAATAAATGACCAGATGGTACTTCATGGTGTGTAAAATTTTACCCTGTGCCCTGTCATATGATCGTGTGTTGCTACAGTTGAGCGTTGTAACAAGATTGACTACACCCGTTAAGTACCTCCCAAGTCCACCCAGCACTTTCTTGCCTGCCTGTTTTTGTTTACGATGCTCCTCCTTTTCCTGGTGTCTCTCACCCACATGGCAAAGTCCTATTCATCGGGATAGCAAGTAATGCCTATTGCACACGATCTCATTTAACCTCCAGCACAACCCTGTGAGGCACATGCTATCATTATCATTCCCAGTTAGCGGAATGGGAAATTGGGGCATGGAGAGATTGCGGTGCCTGGGTCACTTCCCTGATAAGTGGGTGAGCTGGGAGCTAATTGTTAAAGATTCAGGAATTCTATGAGCTGGTTGTTAAAAACAGCCGATTGCTTTAAATCAGACAGGATGGGAAGACTTACAGCACAGGAATGGGCCAACCCTGAAAATCAGAACACTTTCCTTTCGGGGGAGTGAGAGGGGCAGGGTTACCAGCACGCCACTGCTGCGAACCCAGGCAGACACTGGCAGAGGCCACTCAACACCACTGTGTATGCCACCGCTCCCGCTTTTACTTCCCAATATCCAGGTTTTACAGAACACTGGGGCTTAGGGAGGGCAGTGTTTAGGTTTGCAGAGCAACTCAGAAGTCAGAGCTGGTATTCAGTCTGGAGTTGGAGGCTATGTACAAGGCAGGGCTGCTGGCCTAAGCGCGATCATGTTACTAACCCTACAGAGCCCGCCCAAGGCAGAGGCAGCCAGGCACCCCTGCTGAGGGGTGGGGTACAGGCACTTGCTCACCCAGAGTGTGCCTCGGGGTCGGTGTCGGCTCTCATTCACCTGCACATCTCATGTGTGAAACCCCTCCTCATACTCTGTAACCATGTCTTGAATTAAAGAGAAATGGCATCTTATCACTATAACCCAAGTCCAACCTGGAAAAATATGAAGCGTCCTTCATGCCTCCAGAAGTTGGTGACCGGGAAGCCCCCGTGGCCTCGGCAAGGAATGAGCTTCAGGGGCCCATCGCAGTTGGGACAGAGTTTTCCTGCAAAAGAGCAGCAGAAGGTGACCCCGTGCCACTAAGCCATGCCAACTGACCCCTGAGCCCAGGCAGCCCTGGTGGTGTTAACCAGGAAGCCAGGATGGCAGAGACTACACCTGGGCCAGTTTTATGCACTTCCATCAACTGGGCAACCCCTGGCCCTAGGAAGCCTGGCCACCACACGGCCCAGATCAGTCTCACACGTGGCTAGTGGAAGCAGCCTATAGAACGGGGTATTTCACAGGTCAGGGGAGAGGTCTCCTGAGCAGAATATCCCTCCCTATGTATTTACTGATAAGTTAAAATTCTTTATAGAAAAGAAGACAAAATTCTTTTACTTCACGATTACAACTAAGAGTCAAGGAGCAAAGCCACATGGGAGAGAGAACGCAGCTGCTAAATTTTTACTCAAGTGTAAATGACCAATATTAGATCCTGCCTTGAGAGCAAGTCTTGAAGACAAGCTACAAGGAAATAACAGGAGGTTACTTGAGGTCTGAAATGGACCAGGCACATGGAATGCTGAATGCATTTCACAATCTGATGAATATGATAAAAAACAAAAGGAGCACATATTTCCGCACGTGATTATGGCATGAACCCAAATGTCATGGAATTGAGTCTAATCGCAAATTTAGCCCCGGTGCTCCCACTCCAGATCAAAGCACTCCTTGAGATCATATAGGGATCTTTTCCCCACAAGGTCAGGAAGCAAATCTAATAGACAACGTTCTCCTAAACTTTATATGGGCTCACTGAGGAATTAATGTTAGTCCCATAAGTGAGGCATCTCCTTTTTTTTTTTTTACATAAAACATCAGTACATATTAGACATTTTAAAAACATTTCTTTACATTTTTTAAAATTTCAGCTTCATTGAGGTATAATTGGCATCTGCCTTTTAACAGAGGCCTTGAGTTAGGTGCCTAAACTCAAGGGAGCAGTTTTAATGGTGGATGCTCTGGTCAAGGCAGACCCGTGGGGCAGTACCCTGTGGGGGCAAAGGGGGGTGGGTGGGGTCTCCTTAACATGTTCTGCATAGGGACAGCCTTGGTCTCCTCCAGTGTGAAGGTTGAGCCCTTGTGATGTGCTGGGAGGTAGTGGCCCAGCTGAGCGGGAGCGTTTGAACGGACACCAGCTTCCTCTCCAACGACAGCGAGCCCCACTCACTCTGCTGCTTCTGCCGGGCCTTGTCGCAGATCGCAGGCCTCAGGTAGATCTTGCGGCCCTCCTTGGCAGAGCAGTCGCGGCTGCACACCACCACGCCCAGGCAGGACTTCTTGAGGATGCGCGAGTTGTGGTTGTTGGTGTTGCGCATGGCCCAGCTGCTCAGGTGCCTCTGCGCGCTCCTGTCCTCCGAGCTGTAGATGTACTTCTCGTAGGAATCCGGCCATTCTTGGAACCAGTCTATCTTTTTCACATCCTTACAGAAACACAAAGATTACCATTATATTTTAAGCTACAAGGCCTGATCGTCCATCACCGTGGAGTCCATAGACAGGAAGGTGGTTCTGGCGCTCAAGAGCTAGGCCAGGGACCCTTGGCACAGACCAACCTGGCTCCCACTGTGACGGTGATTTCTGAGAAGGCCATGCAGCAGCAGCTGTGTCTCCTGCACCTTTGCTCCCTGGACCAAAAGGAGCTGTGACTCAGCCCTCTGAGTTCTACCCGATGGCGGCTTCTCCAGCCCTTGGTGATAAGAGTTATGACCACTTCTCATTAAGAATTTTTGAGGATGAAGTAATGTTATTGTGTGGACACAATTAATGCGGAAACACCCTTGTGGCAGGATAGTGAGGTCATACCTCATACCACCGTGCAGTTACCATATTAAGCCTGGTAAGGCTAATGCAAAGTCATCGGCGGTGGGAGGACTGGAGAGCCCAGGCACAGGAGGAGTCTGAGAGCCGTTTCCGCCCTTATGGAGGTCTCCTTTTTCTCCACTCCTATATTCATGTGCCTCAAACAGGGAGAGGAGTAAGGAGGAGATTGCTTTGACCGGAAGCTTCTATCTTTTTGCTCAGGATTGGCACTATTCCCTGTGCTGAACCTCTAACTAAACAAAGACACTCCATCATGAGCATAAGGTATTTGGCTTTCTGTGTATCTGTTTCCTCATTTGTGTAATAGGGATAACAAGACGTGTCTACCTCAAAAGTAGTTCTGAGAATTAAATATGATAATATACAAAAATACTTAGCACAGCCTGGAGTACATTCCTCAGGCCCCGCTTTAGTCCACAGAAGCCCCATCAGACAGTCCCAGCTGGTTCTTAGCGTGAGAATTATTAAACAGTCTCAGGAGTCAAACTCGGGCTGTGTCCATCCCCACAGCTCCCAGAGACCCGCCATGGTATAAGAAGAGTCTGGAAGATCAGACTAGAAGATTCCAGAAGGCCCAGAAGGAGTGATCAGGGGACTGGTGTTCATTGAGTTAGATTTCAAATTTAGAACATGATAAAGAACTGTGTAACAGGAGACTCTGAGCAAGGGGTTTTGTCTCCGAAGCCTCACTTTGCTCTTCTCTGAAACGGGAACATTGATAAAAGCACACTTCAGACAGTACTGTAACGAGCAGATCTGTAAGCTTTATATAATGAGAGTTGTTTGATGGAATGTCACGGGAGCTGAGGTAGGTCTGAGGAAATATGAGAGGTTCTATGTACTTGAGAGGTTAGTGGTTAAGAGCTTGGGCCTGCAAACTCGACACATGGGCCAAATCCAACCCACTCTCTGCTTTTGTAAATAAAGTTTTATTGGAACACAACCATGTTCCATGCACTTGACTGTTGTCCATGAATACTTTCATGCCACCACGGCAAAGTTAAACAGTTCTGGCAGAGACTGGATGGCCCGAAAAGCCTAAATGTATACTATGTAATTGGCCCTTTACAAGAAGTTAGCCAATTCCTGGCTAAGAGCATGGCCAATGGAGGCAGATGACCTGGGTGTGAGTCTCAACAAGCTCCTCGCCCTCTCAGTGCCTGTTTCCTGCTCTGTAACAAGAGCATCTACTTCACAGGGATGTTCTGAGGATGGAATCGTCTGACATACGCAAAACATTTATAACTGGCCACAGCAAGTTCCACATCAGCATTGGCTGTTATCTACTAGACCTGGGGCCACACCGGCTAGCCAATGTAACTGTAGGAGCCCCCAGCTTTCAGGGAGAAAGGGCCCACGGAGGAGCCACTGCATGCCTTAAACCTTGCCAAGCCTAATGCAAGTCCAAGCGCCTACACAACAAAGCTTAATTGTTGCAACTCTGGTTCCACCAGCTTCCTTCTCAGGGCAATGACAACAGCGGGCCCTTCGAGGAACTCCTGTGGTTTGGGAAGGGGAGGTTGCCCCTGAAGAGAAGGGTGAAGGGTACTTCTGAACGGGATGAAATTCAATGTCCCAGAGGGAGAGAAACAGCTCAGGCAGCCTCATCATCTCCTGCTTCCTCCACCCACCTCTCTCCTCTCCCTTCTGGCCTAAGCGCCAAATAAGGCTCTCTTGTTTCCTGTCACAGAAGTGCTACAGAAAGCATAATGTTTTACCTTCTGAAATAATCAAAATGCAGGTTAAAATGTGTAGCTTTGTCTAACAGTTTGGACTGTACAAATCTACTGGTGGATCCCAATTACGCAAATACAAAGCAGTTGTCAGGGTAGCAGAGACAGGGGAGAGGGGGACTTAGAACAGCTGAGATTTTCATGTTTTAAAGTTGAGTGGCCCTTTAGGCTGGTCACTGGCATAAATCCAATGAGCCAGGAGGAGGGGAAGGTATTTATGAGAGCGGCTCAGATGTTCTGGTTAAAGACTCCCTGTTCTCAGAGGAAAGAAAATGATCTCCACCCTGTCTGTCTCTCTCTTTCCCATTTTCTCTCAGTTTAGTGTATATTTTGATCTCTCCCGAGGCTTCCTCTTTGACCCATGGATTATTTAGAAATATATGGTTTAGTTTCCATGTGTTGGAAGATTTTCCTGTTGTCTTTTGCTATTTTCTAGTTTGATTCCATTGTAATTGGAGAATATACTCTGTGTTTTTATTATTTTAATATTCTTGAGATTTGTGTTAGGGATCACGATATGATCTACATTCTACTGTCTTTTCAGCTTTTTTCCCCCAACAGTCCCTCCACTGGCACTCTAGGTTTCCAGTATCACTAATAATGCAACAATTTTGACAACATATGGACTTGAGGAAATAACTAGGAGTAAAAGGACTCAAGCTATTCTCTTGGCTATTTATTTATGCCCAGTTTTTTTACCTGAATGCTTTGTGGAATCTTCTAGCTCCTTTGACATTGAAATTAAGGGAAAGCCAGATCACAACAATGCAAAGGAACCCAGGTGTCAAATGAATGATAGCGATTTTTGAAAGCCTTTTAAATTTAAGGCACAGGAGAGGTAAAATGTAAAAAGAAAGAATAATCATTTCTTAATTGTGTTTAGCAAATTCTTGCAAAATATTTTCTTCTTTTTTTTAGATCTTTTGTTTATTTTAATTTCTAACTTTTCATGAGTAACTCTTTGTTTTTCCTCTTGGTTAAGAAGTTTATAATTTAAGGAGAATATTCTTAAGGTTTCCAACATGTAAATCTAACTAATTTATATTTTATAATCTCATTGGTAATATATTGGGGGCTTCATGAATGTTTTTATGATTTCTCTGTGTAATTTTTTACTAAAAGACTTAATCCTCTAACTCTCAAAATCCTTGAAACTCTATATAATCATAGATCACCCTTCCTCATCTCCTCATTCTAATTTATTTAACTACTGAAGTTTTAACAGAGTACCTTAAGAATTAAGAATATACTATTATATAAAACAACAAATTAAAATCAACATTCTGAAATGAGGCATCAAAAATATCTACCTGATTAGGTTATTATATTAAAACTGATTTTCATTTGGAATATAGTCTAATCTCAGATAAAGCAATTATCTACCAGGTTTTCTTTCATTATAACAGCTTATTAATTCCTTAAAAATAAATGTTTCCAAGTAAAACAGGAATAGCAAACAGATACATCTTAAAGCAAATGAGTTAGAGGGGAAAATTAGATGTCACTTATGGAAAAACAATTCCACCAGCATTTTGATTTACATACAACTTTTCAAGAATTTATCTCTTCTGAGCCAAATGAAAACAAACTCCAAGCGTTCTCAAAAAGATAAATTCTATTCAACAAAATGCATTTGAGTCAGGAATTCCTGCTTAGGCTAAACCTGCCATTTCCTTCCTTTGTTAAGGGGTCAAGACTCAGACAAAAAGCACCTAACTTACTCAGACTAAGGCGATCCAGCCTGGCCCAGCTTTCAAACTCTGTCACCTACTTCTCCCTTCCCTTCCCCACTCCACCCCACTAAGCAAGGGATCCCTGACAGGTGCTCAGAGAGAGCTCTGCTACCCCGGTGCAGTAATGGGCCCAAGCCCATCACACCAGAAACACAGGGCAGCAGAATTCTGGCCCCAATCACAGGGGAGCCAATGAACATGAAAGCCCACATAGGTTGCGCTGCCCCAGGGAGTTTCCGGATACCAAGAAAACTGGACAAAGAGGACAAAGTCATGGGTATCTGCGTCAATGTGACCTGATCATGCAGCCAGATAATAATTGACTAGAAACCCAGAATCTGGGACCTGTTACCTCCCTCCCCAGCACCAAGACACAAAGATTGCTACAGCTGGCTCCTTCTGATCACATTTAGTCACATGAATTCACAGAATGAGCTCTGACATTCACCTTGGCTAATAAGTTTTCACTCATCTCCTACAAAAGCCAAAGAAACTTTGCTGGCTAAAATCATGATCCAGGAATTAACTAATCGGAGATGCGGCCTCTTTGTAGTTGGCTCACCAGCTTTTAGGTTGGCCTGCATTTCTACTTAAGCTATGTATGTCCGCATTGTTTTCTGTCTATAAAATATGTACTTCGGCCTTGGAATTTTGTGAGTTAATGACTCAGTGTGGCTTTGGCCATGGGTTTAATCTGAAAACTGCTCATGCTTAGGGACAAAATGATTCCAGGTATTTGTCTGCTGTGGTATTGCTGGAACACCCTGTACTTTTGCTTAGAGAAACTGGCTGGTGCTAAGAACGGAGTAGCTACTCTCATCTTCCTGCAGAAGTGGGTTCTATTTAGGAGAAAAGGGAACTGATTCTCTTCTCAATTTTCAACCGGAAAAAAAAGGGGGGGCAGGGAATTTCTTAGGGATTCAAGGCTCTCAAGGATTACAATCCGTACTAATGAGCGTGTGACACTCTCAGGGACCATGCGATGAACATTTTTTAACGAAGTAAAACTAACCCAGCACCGGACATTTGCTGCTTGCACCAAGGAAAGCCTACAGCAATTCTTTTTTGAACCTTCAAAAAGCAAAACTGGTGTATTAGATTAGCCTGGAAAAACAGACTTTTACCAATGATGGTTTTGAGTAATTTAAGTGCCTGCCCTTCTGGGCTGGCTCCCTGCGGACTAGGTTAAAGAGAGATGGTTATCAAAATAATCACAAGTTAGAGGAGTGACCAGACACAAGTGAAATGAAGGTTTGTTAAGACACATATGCAGCTGAAAGAAGGAAGAAACAAACTGGGGAGGGATGATATATTGAGGGCAAGTAGTCTTTCTAAATCCAAACCTGATGGCGAAGCTTCCCACTGCCTATAAAATAACGCAGTCCTCTTCGCTAGCCTGCTCCAAACCACCTCTCCAGTCCCCAGCCTCCCAAATCTCCTTGCTGGGCACCTTGCATAAGCTCCCTCAAATGAAGACTTGGTTAGTCTCTTCCTGTCCCTATCACCCCTTTCCCCTCTGAGATCTGTCAGTCTCTTCTATGCATTCATGCCTTTCTTGTCTTGATTGCTTTCTTCACTTGCCCTAATCCACCCTCGTTTTACAATGCCCTTCCCTGGAGAAAGCCTTTTGCCAGGTGCCCTACCTTGCTTTCCATGCCCAAGTCCTGCTGAATTACATACTTTCTCCTTCAAGCACTGCAAGCATTTTTCGACATGGCTTTGATTCTCTGTTTGGGCACTAATCTTGTTCCCTTAGTTCAGCTCAATGACCCCTGTGGCCCTGAGCCTGCTATAGTGTCTGGCACATTATAGTCACTCAAAAAATGTCTTATGTCCTGGTAACAGTTGTCAAAAGTGAGCCCATAGCCCTAACCGGTTTGGCTTGGTGGATAGAGCGTTGACCTGCGGACTGAAGGGTCCCAGGTTTGATTCCGGTCATGGGCATGTACCTTGGTTGCGGGCACGTCCCCAGTGGGGGGTGTGCAGGAGGCAGCTGATCGATGTTTCTCTTTCATCGATGTTTCTAACTCTCTATCCCTCTCCCTTCCTCTCTGTAAAAAAAAAAAAAATCAATAAAAATATTTTTTAAAAAAAGTGAGCCCATAAATCCATAAATCTCAATATATCTGAGACACGTAAAGTGATACGGAGTTTCCAGGACCTGATACAGTCAGGATTCACTCAGGTGACCACCGTGAAAGTTGAAGCACGTGAGTGGATTAACAGGAAAGGAATTTGTTTTACAAGTTGCAGGAATTTGCCCATGGGTTGCAGAAGTACAACTCTGGTAAGAATATAATATCATGAAAAATAAAGCAGAAATTCTTTGTATGGGTGGTACAGAGAATGAAAGTGGGGAAATTAATAATAATAACAAACCATTGCATTTGATCCTTTAAATAACTTTTTAAAAAAAACTTCTAAACAGGTGGTCTGAGGAAGAGTAACCACCTGAGAAACTCCATGAAAAAGGGGCTCCATGGTCAAAAATAGGTGAAGGTGCCCTAGCCATTTGGCTCAGTGGATAGAGCATTGGCCTGTGGACTGAAGGGTCCCGGGTTTGATTCTGGTCAAGTGCACATGCTCGGATTGTGGGCCCAATCCCCAGAAGGGGGCGTGCAAAGGCAGCCAATGATTCCCTCTCATCATTGATGTTTCTCTTTCTCTCTCCCTCTTTGAAATCAATAAAAATATATTTTAAAAACATAGGTGAGGGCAACACTGCCTAACAGGGCTTCCTCCTGTGAGAGCCACCCATGCACAGGGCGGTTAGAAAGGCTCCGAGCCTGCTGTAAAGAAATCTTTAACTTCGCTGAACCTAGTATTTCTCTTTTTCTTTCTTCACAACACCCATTAAAATTCCTTGCAACTTGCTCTGGCTGGTTTGGCTCAGTGGATAGAACGTTGGCCTGTGGACTGAAGGGTCCCAGGTTCGATTCCGGTCAAGGGCATGTGCCTCGGTCAGAAGTGCAGGAAGGCAATTAATTGATGCGTCTCTCTCACACTGATGTTTCTTTCTCTCTCTTTCTCTCCATCCCCCCCACCCCCACCCCCCGTCCTTTCCATTCTCTAAAAATCAATGGAAAAATATCCTTGGGTGGGGATTAACAACAACAAATCCCTTGTAACTTATACTCTACTGAACACATTTTGGGAAACACTGCTCTGAACAGCTTAGAGCTTTAAGCAGGGTCTATAGGAATTGCTGTTTTCATTTTACCCAGGAGGTAACTAAGACTTCAGGAAATCGACTTGTTTAGAGTCACACAGATTAAAAACAATGAAGTCGTCCATTAGTAAATTCCATGTTTGTCATTTGTTGTTTAATATGTACCAGGCATCATTGTAGGCCTGGGCCGGCAGGTCTACCTTCCAAATGCAGGCCACCTCCCAAATCTCAGGTCATGCCATCTAGACTATTAGAACTAAAAGGGTACATAAGAGACCATTTAGTGCAACCACCTCCTTTTCAGAAGAAAGGGAGTCTGGGAAAAGGTAAACAACACCCCAAGGCTCTACAAATAAAAAGAGCAGAACTGGAATTCAATGCCAGGGCTTTGACTCCTGCGTCTCACAGTCACCATTCAGCCTTCAGATTTGCTCACAAAACATAAAACCCGGTATGCTTGGAAATCCTTCCAAGGCCTTTTATTTTCATCTCACCTAGTTCTTGATACAGTTCCAGAGCCAGCTAACACCCAGCTGGGGATGCTGTTGTCTCTGCTTAGAAAGTGTTAAGGGACCTTTCTACTCTTAATTCTTTCTGTGGCGTGTTTAACAAATTGAAGTTATTTCCATGAGAAATCAGACTTTTTCTATGAACTGTAAATGGTACATTTCCAAAATTGAATGTGTATTTTTGCAGTAAATTTTTCAGTTCAATGTCTTGGGTAGCTGAGAATGCTGAGAGTTCGTGTTGGGACATGTACTTTAATGAGCCCTGAGACTCCCTCCAGGGAGGTAGTTCTTTCTTTTGTCTGATCAGATGGGTGATATGGATCCTTTTCCAGAAAACAATGGATGTCAGTATGCAGTGCGGCCTGTCATTTCAGGGATTCTCAGACCCCGCAAAAACTCCTGCTCTGGGATGTGACACTGCAGAATCATCTATGGTCCTGCGTACTTCAGCTCTTGATTTGGAGGGTGCCTGGCTTACATTGGGGAGTTGCAATCATGAAATTAGGAATAGGCTGAAATGCAGGTCCTTGAGCCAGGAGTAATTAAAATGTACCTTAAAGTTTCCCCTAACATAGCTGCAGCTGCAATAATCGTAAACCAATGGTGACTACTACAAAGACAAATCCCTAAAATAGATATTATGACTTAGCTGTGGTTTATTTAATCATTCTTAAATGAATGAAAAGTAGGGCACACTTCCTATCCTCCACTTTTCCAAGATCTACCAAGAGAGAATGTAGGGAGGAATTTAAAGAGAAACAAAAGAAATCTTTAAAAAATATTTAAACATAAAGAGAAACAAAAGAAAATTAGTGTAAAATGTGAAAAGATCTGGAAGTCTTCACTAGAGTGAAAATCTGGAATGGCTATGAATCAGGACTGTGGAATCTCCCTTCCCTCTCCGCTGCTTGGATAATTCAAGTTTCTTGTCCCCCAGAATCAGGTAGACCAGCTTGACCTTTTCAGTACTTGGCAGTGCTGGTCTCCGTCTTAGCTTTCCTAGTCACCTTTCCAAATGACTCGCAGTGAAGCACCTTTCAACTAGCAGAGAGGGAGGTCGGGGAGCC